ACATTGTAACAATAGCAGTTGAAAAATATTAAAAATACATAGGCACGATTTTTTTTATAAGCAYTTAAAATTCAAATTTTGACAACATACGTAAAAATCACGAAAATTTGCAAATTATTTTAAGCTAGAAATTCATAAAAAATTTTATTTATAAATCTAAGATTTGAAAATTTTTAATAATCTATAATATATCCTAGACAGATAAACCGTCTCCATTCAGAATCGTATTTCGTATACAATGATACCTATCATTGCATTCAAATTTAACCTACTCTAGTCAGAGGTCCACCCCACCACCAATGTACAACAGAGTGATACCCACTTACCCGCTTTTTTTTAAATATTATTACTATTTTTTTTTAAAAGTATATAAAATAGGAAATACAATAAGTAAATTTGATCAAAGAAAACAATTCTTACACGAGGCTTATATAAGAAAATATCTATAATATGACTCTACAGATGCAAATATAAAAGTAATGATTATAAAATTATATCAAGTTACTTATCTTGCCATCTAAATCAATGTTCTCGTATTCTAGTTATTTGTTTCGTTAATGGTTAACGATATAATATAACTCGTAATTGGTAAGATAGATGAAAGCTAAAATTAGTGTTTATTATGTAGACGGAAGGGGGGTCGTGAGGTTACTGTTTTTATTCTTTACCTTCTTCGGGAGTCCTAACTTTAAAAAGAATCTAGATAATAATATTATTATATATATTTTATTTTAGCTTTTTAATAATTAAATGGTACTAATATCTCGTCATGATTCATTAAACCTCACGTGGAATTAACTCAATCGTATAAATCCATATGAATATAAAAATATTGGAAACTGGAAACTGTAAATATGTAGGTATTTTATACCCATTTCCTGCCATTTATTTTAAAACAGTRCGAAACCGTTTTATCATATCAAAGAATTTGTCTACATCAAATGGTTATATATTTAAATATTTCAGAATTGAACATTTTGTTTTACAAAACAAATAACGAGAATTCAAATATGTAAATCTAAGTTATTTATTCGAATTTAATATGAATCTCTGTGTT